GCTGGGGTCTGGGAGGCAGCAGCGTGGCAGTAGGAGGTCTGGGACACTGCAGTGAGCCAGGTCAAGCAGCTGCATTGCTCAGGGGTCTGCCAGGGCTGAGACTGACCTGGGCCAGATGGCAGTCACCGTAGCAGGGCAGCACAGTGAGCATGGTGGCCAGCATGAGCCTGGGGCAGTGCAGTGGACATTGCTGCCAGGGCCTGGGGGTGGAGCGGCCATGGCGCAGTGGGCAGAGGCTCCAGCAACAGAACTGCAGTATGCTGGCACGGCACTCTGCTCCAGGCCAGAAAGAGAGGGGGCCAGGGAGCAGGGCTGCCTTTTAAAGAGGGCCATTGGCCACAGGCAGCTGTGGGTGGAGCCTCCAGCTCCCCTGCCGCAGGGGACCAGTGCAGGGCTGGAGGGGGTGGAAGAAGACTGCTGCTATGAGCACCAAATCTGCCTCTGAATGCACACATATGTAGACACCTGCCCAGGGTAGGTTTACTCCTAAATTGGGTCAGCATGGTCCCCGTGCTGTGCTGGCCTGCACCTTCTGCCGTCATTTACACTGGTGAAAAGCAGGATTAATTCTAATGCAGCAGCATTTCATGCTTATGTCTCTTCAATCCCCACAGTGCTGATGTCTAGTTCTACTTTTTAGCCCTGCCTCTTCCCAGTTGTTCCCCACGTTGCCTCCTATCAGTGCTCCCTGTGGTATATGGAATGTACCTGTAAAGGGCTGCAGTGGAACATGCCAGTCTTTCCCCGTGATGTCTTGTGGGTGTGGTTTGTTGGTGGTGGGTTGTGGTTAGGGTGGCCATTTTTTATGTCTGGTTTTGTCCGGTTTTATAGGGGACAGTCCAGTTTTCTAGTCCTCTGCCCTCTATTGATATGAAACCAGACACCTTTATGTCCTCTTTTTTTCACCACTCAGCACCCCCCTTCTCTCGCCGCCAATACCGCTGCGGCTGCCTGCGAGAGCTCCCTGCTTGCTGCCACCACGCCCCCGCCGCCAAGACCACTTGCGGAAGCTCACCATGCCACCCCAGCCTTGAGAGGCATGCAATATTCATGGTGGTAGGGACAGTTGCACTAAATGCAACTGTCCTCTATTTTTGAGGTACCTCCATGACCACCCTAGTTGTGGTTCTCCCTGCAAGCTGTGAGTGTGTGTGTTGCTGAATCCTGTTCCTAATGAAGATAAAGCTGTTTACCATCCCACCTGTCTCTGCTGAATGCTGACTTGAGGACAAAACCCCAAGGGCATGGAAATCTGAGTAAGTACCCCATCACGGGAACCCAGTGGCCAAGGGCAAACATTATACTCCCTCCAGCTCTGGTCCGTACTGTTGCCTCTCAGCTTCCATCAGCATCCCAATTCCTGTCTTCCAACCCAACCTGGTACCCAGGGAAATAAAGCAGCATCTGAGTTGCACGGGCTTCCAGTTTTGCTGTTGGTGCAACTCTCATGCAACCACAGCCTCCAGATCAATCAGTCTCCGTCTTGGGCAAGATACGGCTTAGTATCATTTACAGTAGGACTGTCCACCTGGCAACCTGTAGGCCATACGCTGCCCCTGAGGGGTTAAGTTGCACCCCGGGGCTCTGCCTGGTTGCCACTCCCCTTTGCTCCCCTGGTTTTCACAACCTGCCCCCACCCCATGAGGGGCAAGGCAGTGCAGCATAGCACAGCTGGGGAAGCTGAGGGTAAGCCTGGAGCCAAGTAGGTGCATGGTGCAGGGGGGAGGCCTGCAAAGGCACATGGCACAGGGGTGATGTGTGGGGCACAGTTGCTTGATGCAGCATGATAGGGGAGCTCCTATACACTGCAGCAAAGGGGGAAGGTGTTCACATGGCTTGTGACTCTCCCTAGTACAGTTTATGGGCATGTAGCCCCACCCCGCCTGCACCAAGACATGTTACTGCCACAATATAGACCAGCCTAGTGTGGCCTCCTGTAATATTAGACTATGAAATATCACCCTGGATCCTCTGCTGCAAGTCTGATATCTGATGTTTGATTATAACATCTTTGGGGAAAAAATAAATAAATAAAAAACCCCCACCCAGTTTTGGTTTGGAGACATCTGTCTCGGACGGCCAGAGCCGACTTGAGGTAATCTAGAAATTACCCGTTCGTCAGGGCGGGCTGGTGAATGGAGAGGCAGACAAGGTTTAATGGTTGCAAAAACGTTTACTTACGCTGCGTGGAGTTGTGACACAGATGGTCCGGTTGTCTAAACAACCACGTGGGTTGTTCCAGCTGGCGGGGCCCAAGCCAGTGAATCCATCCGTAATTCAAGCCGGCAGGAAAAGGGTACGTCTGGGGTTGCGCTCGGCGACGGGGAGGATCGATAGGTGATCAGCTAGCCGCAAGTCAGATCTCTTTAGAGGCACTCTGCAGCGTGCTCAAAGTTCTTCAACTTGGGCGGCAGTCGTGCGAATTTTTAAACGGCCAGCAGGCCAATTACCAGCCGCTACGTGTGAGTAATTTAGAACTGGCCAATAGCGGGACACAAATTTGCATTCGAATAGCAGGAACTCTTTGCACCGTGCATTTCTGTGCTGCAAGGAAGAAATGCATCCTGCAAATTGGCGGGAAGTCTCTTGCACCAAGGTTCTTCTGTGCAGCAAAAACCCTCGCTGTGCAAGAGGCTCTCATGTGGCAAGAAAATTCCATCGTGCCGAGGCACCAAAATCACTGGGTTGTGACAACATCAAGGTATGGAGAATACATTGTTCTTTTAGAGAGTATTCCCTCCCCCTCCTCCTGTCCCCACTTGTTAATTATCCTCATTGTTAAAATTTATGAGGAATATCTAGCTGGAATTAGTCTGGCTTCAGCATCCAGCTCTAAGTTTTTCCTACAACTCTCCTTACTAGATTAAAAATTCATTTGATATCCAGCATTCCCTTCCATGATGGTAACTCTTAGCTTTGAATTCTCTTTTTGAAAAATGAAACATACTGAGTTCTTTATGTCTCTTGCTGTAAGGCATCTTCTTAAGCTCGCCAATAATTCTTGTGACACTTTTCTGCATGTTTTCCCATTTAATTGCTTTAAACATTCTTATATTTTTTCTGTTAATGTGCTGAATTATTAACACTATATTAATAAATTCTAAGTGGGATGTCTGCACAGTCTCTTAACCATTTAGCAACTGATTATTAAAGGATTGAATTCAGCATGACGGCATTTGGTTAACTAACCACTGAGTAACCGATATCCACCCAACAACACTTGGGTGTGCTAGTTCAGTTTATCAGTATAGTAGATTCCTGTTTTTTACGTAACCTGTTTCACAACCGTGATGCAAATAAGAGGACAAAGTTCGTAAGTGGAAGGAGAAAAAGTACTAAATAAGTATTTAAATAAATAAAAGGGGCTTGAAATGGGTAGTGTATTTTCTGATGCAATACACTACGCACTGCAGAATTCATGAAAATGATCAGGAGGCCGGTTTAAAAAGAAAAAAAGAGAAAACCCAAGAGGAAGTACTTTTTACACATTGAGTAAGTTTGCTGAACTGAGTGCCATAGAATTTATACAAGCAGATAGTATAACTTGATTCAACAAGGGATTAGACAAAATCCTGGAGGACAGTTCCATTGGGAGCTATTAGATAAGATATTCAGGGATGTATCCCCTGATGGTTAATGTCAGGGAAGGCCAGACAAAGGATGACCTTGCTTATATACTTTCCTAAAGTATCTACCCCTTTTCATTGTCAGAAAGGCCTATTCACTGTAGAATGATGATAGGCCTAAGCCAGGGGTATACAAAATATGGCCTGCAGGCCACATCTGGCCCACCAAGGGATTCTATGCAGGTGCAGCTGGTCCCATTGCCCCCAGGCACATGGCAGGGCAGAGATGGCGCAATGACTGGACTCCTCTTCCAGCAGTCCCTGCAGTGGTGGTTCCTTCTTGCTACTTCCACTAGTGTCTCCACTGCTGCTGGACCTGGCCCCACTGCCTGGGCACCCTGGCCCATCTACCCTGCACCCAACACCAGGGGCATCAGATGGAGCAGGTGGGGTCTCCACAGACTGTCTTATAGCTCCTGAGGGCAGGCATGCTCAGCTGGGTGGATGGAATGGGGCCATGGAAGGGCAGGGAGCATCATGGGAGTGAGATGGGGCAAGATGGGGAGGGCCAGGTCTGGGGTTTGGATGATGGGGCAGTAACATGCAGGGAGTGGATCATGGCTCTGCCCTGGGTCCTGGCCCAGTGCTGTCACTACCCCGTGATCCCAGCCCCAGCCCTCACCCACCTCCAGACGCTGCTTCTCATCTGCCTGCAGCTCCATCCCATCCACCCAGCTGAGCACGCCCTGTCTGTGAGGGTCCTGGTGGGCCTCCATGGAGATCCCATCCACCCTTTCCATCCGGCATCCCTGACAGTGGGTGTGGGGCAGACAGGCTCAGGTCGGATAGTATCAATTATCCCCCCTCCCCTGCTGCATTGGTTCAGGTCAGCTTCCCCACCCTCCTGGCCCTCAACAGCTCACCAAAATTCCTAAAGTGGCTCTCCAGACAAAATAATGGCCTATGCCTGGTCTAAGTCCACCAGGAATTACAAGCCCCCCTCAGTAGTTAGAGGGAGACCACTGAATGTACAACTAATTCTGTGGGATAAATCATGACAAAAAAGGAACAGGAGTGCAGGATATAAGTTATGAACTAGGGAGGACACCAAACAGAAAACTCCAGCTAGTGCCTACTGCACCTTGAATGCATCTAAGGAGCCAGGGGACACTGCCCAGTGAAACTCTGCTCAGGGATGTGCACAGACAAGGGTAAGCAAGAGCCACAGCAACTCAGGTTTCCCCTGTCACTATTTCTTGGTCTGATAGATGGACAGCTTCGCCAAGGTCAAGAGGAGGTTGAGCAGGAGGTCCTGGGACTTTGAGAAACCATGGATTGGGTGTGCATAAATTAAAAAGCGAAGGGAATAGTGCAAATATATCCCCAAGAATAGGAGGTGGCAAAAGAGGAGCAGCAGCCTAGTACACTCCAGTTTCCCTCTGGCAACAGAAAGCGCACTCATTGGGGGAGTCCATAAAGTTCATCAGATGCACACTTGCAGTTAGGACTTCATGCAGGAGCCAACAACCTTGATCATTGTTGGATCTTGGGACTAGATCACTGTTGGATCTTGGGACTAAGGTGGAATATAGGTTGGTCCATCAGGGATCTTTGCCTTTAGCAAAGGTTTTGTATGGCAGACCTCAGATAAAGAAGTTGCTAGTCATATTAGAACCCTTGGAGGTAGGCACATGTCATCAGGCACCATGCTGCATGTGTACAGATGCTACAGAGGAGCCTCTGCATGGCCTGAAGATGGAAAACATATAACCATCTGTAGAGACAGATCAGGCCTCCCCCACCCCCACTTTACACAAGGGGAAGCATAGGGCACCTGAAGGGACCCGGCATCATCCTGGCCAGAAGAACCTCAACAACCTGTCTCTAAAGGTTAGCCAGGATACCTGAAGCATGGGCAGGGTATCGAGTTACTTCTACAGCATGAACAGGATTAACTGGTTAGTGAATAGCACCCTCCCATGGAAGGAGGGTGCCATGGCACAGGAGCCTCAGGGCTGGCTGTGATGCCCTAGGGCTCCGTGACCATGCCAGCTCCACCCTGAGGGCACCTTCCAGTCTCACCTGCCACATCTTGCTGGTAAAAATAATAAGTAGGGAAGCTGCCTACGAGTTTGTGTAGCCACAGTTTTGTTGAACCCTATTTAGACCCTATGGGTCCTTGGACCCCTTGCCAGGTCTCACTCCAAATCAGTGCCTCACAGGACACCTTAAGCCTGATGAACTCAGTGAGCGACTCCACATCTCCCCTTTACCATACCCCATGCTTTGCAGGTGTTACACAGATGTTGTTCTCTCTGTTGGGATCTCTACCTACTCAGCCTCGGACCCTTTAATCTGGTTAGGCCTTCTAGCCTAGGCCCACTGTGATGGATCTGGCCCTGAGGCACTAGCTCAACTTGGTCTGTTTCTGTCACCAGGCCCTGTGGCCCTTATCTCTTCTGCATCGCTCTGGGGACTAATGAGGCCTGCAAGCCTCCCCTTACAGCCTCATCCCAAACCTCCAGTTCAAACAACAATACAAGTGTAAGCCCTGGAGCTATAACATAACAGTAACAAAGGGGGCATGCTCTACCACATTAAGAAGGCAAACTTTTGTCCCCTGAGTATAGCAGGCCTCCTAGCTCTGGGAGCCTTGCTAGTCTTGCAGGCAGCAGAATGGGCAACCAAACTCCAGGTAGCTTTCCTGTGCAGGAGCACCTTCCCCAGACAGTTGCCAGAGAACTAACCCCTACCAGCCCTAGCCTTGGGCTTATATGTGCCCAGGACTCTGCCTCCTTCTGATCAGCTGACTGTCTGCAGGTGCCAGCTAATTACTTCATTAGCCTGTTGCTCAAGCAACCCACGGCTGTGGTGCACTGCCTAGCCCACAAAGTGCCTGGCTAGGCTGCATAGATGGAGGGAGAAAAAATTATTTGGGGGGGTGGGGAAGCTGAGCATGTGTGTATACGCACCCCACCCAGCAGGTTAGTCTGTGGGGGAAGGGGGAGGAGAGGGAAGGGCCATGTGGTGGGGGCAGACCAAGGCCCCCACCGTGAGGAAGGGAGTGGGGCAGAGGCAGGGGCTGGGGTTGGGGTAAATGGGGTCCCAGGGCAGGTCATGGGAAGGTCAGAGCCTGGGTGGCTCATCCAGGGGTGTAGGGGGCTCCTGGTGCTGCACGTACCTCAGGGGAGGCCTGGAGGGTACGCGTCCCCCTGATCTGTGCGCAGGGTGGAGATGGCTCTGTGCTCCACTGCCATTGCTGCTGCCACTGCCTCCGGAGCCACACGATGCCATGTGCATCCCACAGCTGGGCAGGCAGGGAACGTGGCACAGCCCAGCAGTGGCAACACATGGTGTTGCATGGCTTCAGAGGCAGCGGCAGTGGGGCATAGAGTCCAGCACACAGCGGCAGCCCACATCTGCCCTGTGCACAGATCGGAGGGGGCACTTCCCCCCCCGGCCTCTCCTGGGGTGTGCGCAGGGGTGGGTTTTCAGCTCCCTGCTGCCTGGTGGTGTGAGGGGGCTTTCTCTGAGTCAGAGAAACTGAGCTGCACCTGAGCCTTGCATTTGGCAGGTGTGGTTGCTTGCCACATAAGAAAATATGGAGACTAAATTAAAGTGTCACTGTTTGGGTTGGCTTGGGTCCTCTGTGT